AAAAAAAATTAAAAAATATATGCATAATATCTACATCCTTTGCCTCAGCAAGTCCCCTTCTAGGAACTTGAAAAAAACCCAAAATGTGCCCACAGACATATATAAATTGGACCTAATGATATTCAAGATAGTGAAAAATTGGAAAAAATCACTATCTTGTAATTGGAGACTGAGTATGGTATATCTAAATGAAATACTATGCAACCACTAAAATGTTGTAGATTGTTGCAGGTAAACAAGGAAAGGTGTTTGTGCTATATTGAGCACCTGTGAAAAATGCAGGCTACATTGGGGCGCCTGGATGGCTCAGTCAGTTAAGCGTCTGACTCTTGGTTTCAGCTCAGGTCATGATTTCACAGTTTTGTGAGTTCTGGCTCCACATTGGGCTCTTCTCTGGCAGCTCAGAGCTTGCTTAGGATTCTCTCTCTCTCCCTGTCTCTCTGCTCTTCCCTCACTAGCACTGTCTCTGTCTTTCTCAAATAAATAAATAAACTTAAAAAGAATGCAGGATACAGAACTTTGTTTAAAAATGTTTTCAGGGGCGCCTGGGTGGTGCGGTCGGTTAAGCGTCCGACAGTCACGATCTACATGATCCGTGATTTGAGCCCAGATAAGGCTTCTGGGCTGTTCGGAACCTGGAGCCTGGGGTTTCCATTCTGTGCCTCTCTCTGCCTAAGCCCGTTCATGCTCTGTCTCTCTGTCCCCAAAAAAATAAATAAACGTTGAAAAAAAAAATGTTTTCAAAGGATGTGTGGTTCCATTCAAAAGTTTAAAAAAAAAATCTTTCTACATAAAGTAGATTACAAAATGGGACTAGAAAGAGGTATCATTTCTGTAAAAAAAAAAAAAAATGTGACAAAGCGTTTATGTCTGTATATTTTTATTTTTAATGTTTATTTAGAGAGAGAGAGAGACAGAGCACAAGCGGAGGAGGGGCAGAGAGAGAGGGAGACACAGAATCTGAAGCAGGCTCCAGGCTCTGAGCGCTCAGCACAGAGCCCATGTGGGGCTTGAAATCACAGACTGCGAGATCATGACCTGAGCAAGTAGGATGCTTAACCGACTGAGCCACCTACATGCCCCGTGTGTGTGTATTTTTAAAAAGTCAACAAGGATTTTATAACTGGTTATCTGGTGCGGGGAAAGCATATTTGCCATATTATTTATAAGATATTGAACCATATTTTCTAAATATTAAGGAAAATGTCTGAAATCCACGTATATTCATCCATATATTCCAAATTTTAGGAAAACTTTTGGGGAAATGACTCACAATTCTACTTTCTTTATACATATACACCCTATAGAAACTTGGTGTGTGTATTCCCAGGAACCATGTACTAGACTGTTCCTAGGATCACTGTTCATAATAGCCAAAAAGTGAAAACAACTCAAATGCCCACGTACAATAGAATGGATAAACTATGGGATAGTCATACAAACAAATAGTATGCAGCAATGCAGAATGTCTGAGCTTCAGCTGCATATAATGCAAGTGAATTTTACAACACTGAGCAAAGGATGCCAGGCACAAAGGATCCACAGTAGGATTCCATTCATATGACTTTAAAAGACAAACAAAACTAACTACATTGTCAGGTATATAGGTGTTAAAACCATAAGGAAAAGCAAGGAAATAATTATTTCAATACTTAGTAGTTATCTACAAGGAAAGGGATTATGATGAGTGGGACTTCTAGGGCATAAGTAATGTCCTATTTCTTGTCCTGGATGGCGAAACGGTTCATATGTGCTCTATACACTTTTCTTTTTTTCTTTTTCTTTTCCTTCCCTCTCTTTTTTCTTTTTTTTTTAATTTTAGAGGGGGAGAGAGAGAGTGCATGTGTGTGAGTGGGGGAGGGGGCAGAAGGAGAGAGAGAGCAGAGCCAGATATAGGGCTCAATCCCAAGACTCTGGGATCGTGATCTGAGCTGAAAGCAAGAGTTGGACACTCAACTGAATGAGCCCCTCTATGCACTTTTCTTATGTGTATTCTGTTTCCACAGCTAAAATTAATAGTAATACAGAAGGAAAGGAACATGTGGAAAGAAATGGTGGGAGTCAAAGAGGGTGCCACCTCTGCTCCTGGAGGACTCTGGGAGAGGCTCTCCTTCTGTCCCCTCTACCTCCCACCATGAGTAGTACTTACGCATCTCCTAGGAAGAGGTTGGGCCAGACCTCATCGATGTGGCTCAGCATGGCAGCCCGACGGACCCACAGCAAGCGCTGTAGGGAGGCCAGTGTGGGTGGCTGGTAGGGGGACACCCGGACTGCCCCATGGATCTTGGGCCTCCGGAGGTCCTGCTTCTGCAGCGAGTTCATTCTGAAACACAGTGGACACTGTGGTGGTTGGGGGCAGGATCCCTACCTGTGGGTCAAGCTGATGGAAAGGCCCAGGCATGGTGCAGTGCCCAGGTGCCACTGGGATGCTGCAAAAAGGGCCTCAGTTATTTTGGATGAGGTTATTAACCAGCTCAGGTGGGGCTGAGGCCTAGACCCTTTCCCCAGGGAACAAGGGAATCAATCCCTTGTCACCCCTGTGAAGCTGAGAAGCTCTCTCCTGCACTTTCCAGAGGTCCCTGATGGTGGAAGCTTTGGCCAAGGGGCCCTCGGAGTTCCCTGTTTGTAACAACTAGTCAGTGAAGACCCTGTCCCTTAAGTCACAGGTACTTGGGACTTTATAGGGATGAGGACTTCAGATGACTGTGGCTCTCAGAGGGCACCTACGAAGGCCCCCACAACCTGGCAGCTCATCTCAAGCTCCCTCCTCTGCTACTTCCCCAGGTCCCCATTCCCTCCCAGTTTCAGGTGCTTGAAGGGCAGAGCCCATCTCAGGAATAAGGGGGCCTGGGCCATGAACTGACATTTGTTGGTATTTCTGTGCTAAGTAAACTGATGCTCTTATAGGCCTGAGGCCTCACTTGGGTTAGTTCCCTATTTTACATAGGAGGAAGCTGAAGGTCAGAGAGAATTTTTAAGTGATGCCCAAAGCCATATGGGTGATAAGTAGGAAGGCTGAGTTTTCCATCCAGTTGTGTTCCTTCAGTTCTGTCTCTAAGCCTTCCACTTGCCATCGTTGGGGACTCCAGAGAATGGTCACTACTAATCCGTCTGTCTCTACATGAGAGCCTAGTGTTGGGGTCACACATCTGCCTATAGGCCCTGGGATTTTCCTCCTTACCCCCATGACTCAGGCCAGTGCTGAAGATCAGGCCTCACCCAGGGAGGGTGAGTTGTGTCAGGAGTCATCTGGCTGAGGGTATCCGGGACCCTGCAGAGCTGGGTTATCTGTGGCACCAGAACCTGGGTCTGGTGCTGTGTTGGGAAGGAGTGCCTATCTTGGCTAATTGTCCCTGGCCCCCTCAACCAGTAACTAGGGAAGGTACAAACTGGGAAGAACATCTTTTCTCTTTGGTAGGCAGTTCCAGGACCAGGAAGAGAAATGGGCACCCAGGAGGCCACTGGCTTGGCCAAGCTCACCCAGCGGGTAGCCGGTGGGCAGGGTGGAAGTGAAGACCCAGCTTTCCCCTTCATCCCCCACTGTGACCTCTCAGGGCAGGCTGAATGGCCTGCCACCTACCTAGGGCATGGTCTGGGGCCAGGAATGGGGGAGTGGGTACAGGGACAGGACTCAGCACATGAGCGGAACTGGGCTGGGGCAGGTTCCGCCCAGAACACAAACGCTGTGAAGCGGCTAGAATTCCAGGTCCTTCCCTTGGAGCCTGTGGGGGTGGGGTCTGAGAGCAGACCTAGGCTGCTGTAGCCTGAAGCACAGTCCTTTCAAACCCTCTCTGCTTGGCATCTCTTTGGGATGAAAGGCTTTTGGCCCTGAGCTTCCCATGTCCAATGGAAGCTACCTGAAGTGGTGGAAAGAGAACTTTGGAGGGAGGGAGGACAGCATGGCCATAACTCATTTGGTGGCCTCCAGCAAGTCTTTGCTCCTGTCTGGCCGATGGTCTGTCTAATGTTTAAGATCCTTGGCCTTGCCTGACTTTAGGATTCCCTGGGGGTGTGACCTGAGAATGAGAGCAGTGGCTGGGTTTGCAGTAGCTACAGGGTAGGGATTGGCATAGTGTGTTGGGGTGGAGAAAGCCCCAGGCCCCAGGGTTGTCCAACAGCCACACTGGTCTGCCGCCAGCAGCTGGAGCTGCAGGAGATGGAGCTCTGGGAAGCCTGGCAGACCCACGCTGGCCTCTGAGCTTGGCGTGGGGTACTTCCGCCACCTTGTGGCCATTGGGTGCATCGCAGTCCAGCTGTGCCAGGGAGTAGGCAGCCAGGCTCTGGCTGACACAGAGCTGGTCCCAAGGGACTCCTGGGAAGAGGAGGAACCAGCAGAGGGATCAGGAATTGGGGGCTGTTAGGCCACAGCCCATGTTTCAATCTCCTAGGGGCCTTAGACCCAAGTCTGAAGAATGGGGGCCTTTTCCTTGGACTTTGGGGTACTCCTTGTCTGGTCCCACCTAGGTTCTCATACCTGATGCTCACAGATGTACCCCACATTTGTCCACTCTGTCCTACTGGGGGTCCAGCCCCCTGCGCAAGAACTCATCCTTCAAGCTCCAAGCACATCCAAGGAAGGGAAGTCAGTGGCTACAGCAGCTCCTCTGGTTTCTGCTGCCCCCGGACCTGGACTGACTCCTCCTCCCACATCTCCTTGGCCACCACAGAGTGAAGCATGCGCCCAACATTTAGTAGGGACAGGTCAGGCCTGGCTCTTCTCCTCATTCACTCTGGCCCTCATTCTGCCTCCTTCTTGTGTCTTCTCCCTAAGCTGAATACCTGCCTCTGTGGGCAGTGGTTTCTCTGCTCTTGTGCTGCTGCTGTTGACAAGTTTAGGTGTTTGTTTTCTGTCTTTGTGTGTGTCCCTCCTCCTGTCTATGCTGCTCTCCCCAGCTTCTCGTAGGAGCTCATGCTCCTCCACAGCCCCTGACACACCACTCTGCCTGCTGGCAGGCCAAGGCACAGGCCTCCTCGGGGCGGGGGGCAGCTCTTGCCATCCACCTCCTCAGCTGAAGCTCCAGACGTCCCCCTGGCCTTCCCTCCTCCCCAGGCTCTCTGCTTCCCCCTCCTCCTCCCCAAGCAGACCAGATGGGACTGTGGCCACAGGAGAGTTGAGGCCAGAGATCTCAGGGCAAGACGAGTGAGGAGTCTGGTAAAGGAAGCCTCAGGGAGGGTGGCAGGCGGGCAGCCAACATGAGCTGCCAGTGGGGCTCTGCACTCAGCACGCAGGCCCTGGAGGAGGACAGATCTGGGCAGTTCTCAGGTCAGGTGTTTGTATGGTCTTCTTCGAGCCGGTTTTTTCATGGGGCTGCTGTGAGAATTTCATGAAATACTAAATGTAAGGCACCTCCCACAGGGTCTGCCTTATGGTAGATGCCTTCAGAATGGTGCATCTTACTATTATTATCATTACTACTATTATTACTCTTACCCTTTCAAGCCTCAGCCATATCCTGGGTAGAGGGTAACCTCCCCCAGGACAGTGAGGCTTAGTCTCTGTTTCTTTGTGTCTCTTAAGGTTTTTTTTCTCTGTCCAGCAATAATTGTTATTATATTCACCACCTGCTAAGGATAGACTGTGTACCAGACAGAGCTAAATGCTTACATTTTCTCATTGGATCATCACGGTACCCTTATAAAGCAGATAACGTTATCATCCCCATTTTACAGATGAGGAAACTGAGGCTCAGAGAGATTAAGTGATGTGTTCAAGGTCATGCGGCCAGTAAGCATGGGATCCAGGATTTGAGCCCACATCTTTCTGACTATTCTGCTCTTGTCTGTGCCTGTATCTCTAGCCCACTCTGTCCTCCAATCTAACCCAGTCCCTCCACAACACACATAGACACAGGTGCCCTGACCCTCATGACTCAGCATGCTCTGTGGCCCCCCTGAAATAGGGGCACTCACCCACCTGTGGGGATATCTGGCCCAGGCTGTGGTCTTCTCTGACGGCCACTTTGTGCTGCCGGCTTCCAGCTGCCTGTCTCCGCACACTTGATGCTGTTTCTATTTTTTGATTTGAGTTTAATTATAAAGCATGATGTGCTGCTCCCCTCTTCTGGCCTCCCCCTGACACTCCCAACTCACCCACTGGGTCCCTGGCATGGTCAGTGCCAAGCCCAGCCAGGCATCTGGCCTTGCTGGGAGTGGAGGCAGCTCGCAGGGGTCTGCTATGGTGTGTATGCATATGTGGAGCAGGGAGAAAGAAGATCCAATAAGCCATTTTAAAAGCTCCCTTGGCCTTTGAGGGTGGTATGAAGGATGGGAAGAAGGTTAGAGCTAGAAGGATCTTCCATGGAGGAGGACAGAAAAGAGACTAGCCAAAACCAGACACAAACTGGCAGTGATGTCAACATCAGAACCCAGGTCCAGGGGTGCTCAGTTGGGAGCTGAGGATTATAGGACTGGCCCAGGATTAAGATCTAGAAGACCCAGGCTGAGGGAAGTGTGGGTACACTTAACAAAGCTGTAAGTGGGGTTCAGAGCAGGCCTTTAGACCTGCGCTGGCCTGCCATCAGAGGCTGTGTGTCCAGAAGCCACTCTGCCCTCTGCCAGGCTCCTCTTTCCTCCAGAAAGTATTCCTAACCCAGATCTCACTGTCCCTTGAGGTCAGCAAGATGGTGTTTTAGGTCCTTCCAAGGCCACTGTGCTCAGTTAAGGACCTTGGATTTAGGCCTGTTAAGAATCCTTCCTGCTCTCCAGATACCCTTCTCATATAGACTTCAGGACTCCTCCACACAACACTCCCAGATGACAGACACACACAGAGACATATGCACACCTGCGGCCACACCTACAGGGTGACTCTGAAGTCTGAACTCCAGGGAGCTAGGGCTCAGCCCCTGCTGGGGTCCCCTGAGCCCTGGGGAGAGCTGGTGGGGGGAGCTATGGCTAAGGGCAATCATGAACACTTAGAGTCCCCTCCCGCTCTCCTCCCATCCTCCCACCCCAGGAAACTTGGAGCCCCTGCCTAAGGAGCCTCAGGATTGGCTGAGAAGGCAGCCCATTCCCACCTGCAGGGACTGAAGACAGTGGCTGGCAGGGAGTGCAGGCAGCGGGAGGAAGCAGATGGAGTAGCAGGCTCTAGGGCGGACTCCACACTGGGTTCTTACCATCTTCTTGGAATCCACCTGGGCCAGAGCCTCCAGCAGCGCCAACAGGACCAGTGCCAGGGCAGCAAAGTGGCACAGCCCTGCGGCAGGGAGTAATGACCAGCTCTGGGGAAGAGATGAGCTCCATGTTATAGGCAGGCAACCCAAGTCCCAGAATGGCTGGGACTTGTCAGGGCAGAGGCAGGAACTGCCATCTAAACCTGCCTCTGCCTTGAGTCCTCTATGTAAGGTCAAGTGGGTACAGGTGCTGGGAGAAATAAGGCAGGTCTGGGGCCTAGGTCTGGGGCCTAGGGCTCATGGAGAGAAATGACCTTTCCCCAAGGCCCCCTCATCTTTCGGAGTCCCTAGGTCTGCTGTGTATGGCCATATAGGCTGCACACTGCACAACTCCTGGGGACTCCAGTAGCACAGGCTGTCTGGTGGGTGGCACCTCAAGGAAGTGTGCAGTGCTGCAGCCCAACTGATTTCCCCCAAGCTGTCTGATGGAGAGATACTGAAGTTGGAGGTCAGGGCATTTAAGGGTTCCAAGCCAAGGAAGTGGGGCAGTTGGGCATAATCAGAGATCTGCTTTCCACCAGTTTCCTGAAACCTGTTTAGAGGAGAGAGCAGGATGGGAACATGCCATTCTTGTCTCCCTCTTGGCTCCGCATACACACAGAGCTCCGCACAGTGGTTTCCCACCCAGCTCAGCCCTAGGCCTAATCCCAACCACGGCTATAACCCTAATTTTCTTCCATTACACTCACCCCCAAACTCTAAACCTATCTCTCCGTCCTGCTCTGATCCCCATCCCCAAGATGCTCATCCTTCTGAAAGTATCAGGAAGGGGTCAGTGTTGCTACATGGCTCCCTGGCAGTGGTGCCAGTTACCAATTCAGAAACAAGAACAGCTTTTAGTGGGGGGCAGGGCAGAGGGAAATTCAGTCCACATCCTGGGAAGCTCTTGGTAGGAAAAAGCTACCACTTTTCCAACTCCCAAGAGAGCCCAGGCCCATCACCCACCCCTAGCTGGCAACCCCTCTGAGCCAGTGGGCACTGAGGCACAGAGCCCAAGTCAGGGTTGAGGAGAGATGAGGGAAGGCACAGCATGGGTAGGAGGCTTAGCTCCCTGGCTGATGGCCCTCAAGGGGGATGTGAATGTGAGGCAGGTGGGCTACTGGGGACAGACAAAACAGACCCAGCCTCAGCATGGTGAGAGAAGAAGGGCAGGTGACACCACAGCTCCCTCACAATGCTGGTGCCAGCACAGCCACTCCACCACAGGAAGAGACGTCCCTGTGGCCTCCCAGCTGAGCTGGAGGAAAACAGGGCTGATGCCAAAGAAATTGAAGTAGCACCTCGGTGACCGTTTGTGGGCCAGGAGCCTGAGAAGCAGTGTTGCTGTTGGGAGCAGCCAACTCCTTCTACTAGGCAGCTGGGGATACAGGAGGCCCCCATCAGGAGTGGGGAGACCTGGGGGGAGGAAGTGTTGAGGATCTGTTCCTCTTCTGGAACTTAAGGACCATCTGCTAATGCTCTGAATGCACTGCACATGGGGCCGCAGGACGGAGGGTAAACGGAAGTAGAAAGGAGCTGGATAGACCTTTAATGTCCTACAGGAGTCCTCAGAACCTGAGAGGGAATGAAGTTAGGGAGGCTGCTTCTGTGGATCTCTGAGATCAGACTGATTGGGGGAGGACAGGTAGGGAGTGGGGTACTGGGTCTGAGGCAAGGAATGGAATGGCATGATGGCAGGAGAACTTTATATCAAGCTGGGCTCAGGTAAGGAGGCCATGGCTGGTGGCAGGAGTACCTGTACTCCTTCTCCATTGTGAGAAGGGTGAGGCAGGGCTGATGTGAAAATTAGCTAAGCCTGGAGTGACAGCTGTAGCCCCACTTTCCCCCCAGAGCTGGAGCTGGGGTCTGGACCTGGGAAGGAGGTATGCAGAGGTGTGGGAATGTCCAGACAGCCCACAGGTGTCAGGACTGGCGGTGTTGCTGCCTTAGTGGGGTTCAGGTGAGCCCCCACTGGCTTTTGGCCAAGGAAGCAGGGCAGCCCACATCAGAACCAGGTAAGAAGGCCTCACCTCTTCCATTATATGCTTTCCACCTCTTTCCTTCCTAACATTTCCATCCTCTCAGGGGTCTGAAGAACATGAGTAGGCTGCAGGAGAAAGGCTCCTTCTGGAAGGTTGCCTTAGCCAGGCCCCTTCAACCCTCCCTCTGGCTACACATAGCCCTGACAACCCACTTCTGAACTGGTCCCATTCCATGTCCCCCACCAACCCTCACGGGCCTTCCCTTTCCTGGTTCCCCATCCAGCCCTGACCTGACCTCTCACTTCTTAACTGCACCCAGTCTTGCCCCTCACCTCCTCATTCCCTGCCCAGCCCTCACCTGGCCCCTCAGCTCCGGCCTGCACCCCGCAGCTGCTGGTCCAGCTGGCAGAGCTGGTGGAGGAAGCCTCGGTTGGGAAAGACCCATCGGTGTTGCCTCACGGTGATCACTGCCTCGCGCAGGGACAGCTGCTGGTGTAGCATGAGGTAGGCCAGCACCAGTGTGGCAGAGCGGCTCACCCCTACCACACAGTGCACCAGGACCTTGGCTGAGGAAGACATCCCGGTGAAAGACCCTCTCCCACCAGCTGGCCCACCCAAGGGCAGGGGTAGGGACCCAAGTTCCTTTCCCCGCTCTGCCTTGGGTGTACTATGTAACCCTGGGCAAACCATTCAGCCTTTAGGGTTCCCAGTTTCCTGATCAGTCAAATGGGTATATCAACACCCTTTGCCTCCCCTTGGGATAGGGTCCAAACTCCTTAACACACGGCTTACAAGACCCTCCGTGAGCTGGCCCCTGCTAACCTTACAGCTTCATCTCAGGCTGTCTCACCCCAACCTTCAGATCTAAGAACACTGGGTAACTTTCAGTTCCTTAAAGCTCTTATGGTCTTTGGCCTCCAGCCCTAGAACATGCTATTCCAACTACCTATAGCTTCTCTAGCTCATGGTCTGACTAATGTTTAGTACTCATCTGTCAGGTTTCAGCTAAGACATGATTTCCTTGTACAGGCTTTCCTGACCACTCATGGTATCACTTGAATCACAGAGCAGCTCATCCTTTTTGCATGTGGCCCAGTGAATACTGCTGTAGAGGGAAGTCTCCTCACCTCCTGGTCCTCTGGACCGAGCACCCTTGCCCTGTCCCTGGTCTCCCACGTCTCTTCACATTTACCCATTCAAAGGAATAGTACCCACAATACTCCACATTCTGACCATCTTTCCACAAAACATATAATGGCAAGTTCCATTAGAGCAGGGATCCTGCCTCGTCTAAGTGTGGATTTAGTACCTAGCTCAGTGCCTGGCACAGAAAAAATAATAAATAGCTGGTAAATGAATGCTTGTAAAACGAATGTCAAAGTGCTCTGGATGTTAAAGAGTGCTGTGAGCCATAGTCTTGTCTTTCTTGTCACATAGATGAGAAACTGAAGTCCAGAGAGGGACACTGGCTTGCCCAGGGTCAGGTAAGAAGGGGCATGGCCCTTACCCAGGATGAACACAGAGTGCGGGCTCCAGCTTCCCCAGCCTCCTTTGTTCTACCCTGGGCATTAGAAGTTTGTTGGTTTTTTAGGGGCATATGGGTGGCTTAGTCAGTTAAGTGTCCGACTTCAGCTCAGGTCAT